AAGACTTCATCAGTGACGAAGGCGTCATCGGTGATGGTGACGTCACCAGTGGCATCACTGGGGATGTCACTGCTGACGTCATGACGATGACGAGGACGTCATCATGATGACGTCATCGTAACGTGACCTCGCAGGGATCACGTGACCCCGGTGACGTCACGTGACGCTCGGGAGGTCACGTGACCCTCGTGAGGTTACGGCGACGCCGCTCGGAGGGAGGAGTAGCAGGAAGGATGAGGAGGTGAGGAGGAGGGAGGAGGGAGTATACCCTCCCCTCAGTAGCCTTCCCACCTCCTCCTCAAGAGCTGCGCCCTAATTAGGCGTTACAGGGAGTTGTAAACGGCTTTCGTTTTTGGCTTCGGTTTCAATTTGCGTTTTGGCGTGCTACAGTTCATCGTTTCGTTTGAGGATGGCGGTTGAGAGCGCTGAACGGCAATCGCCGAGAATTCAGACAGATGCGCGTCTCTCTCCCAACGTTTCACACGTTTTTAAGCACGAGCCAACGCTTTTTCTGTACCACTCGGACCGACTTACGAGGTAAATTACACAGTGGCTAAATCCAGAAAGCTTATATATATATTTTTTTTTCTCTTTTTTTTTTACATTTGGCTAAAAGAAAAAAAAAAAAAGGAAACAGTGCCACAATGTCCTTTCATGCGCGAACGGGATGGAGCCGACAAGAAACCCACCAATCTCCGAGTACGCCGTTTGCTTTATGCTGTTATGTCTGATCGTCGGCACCACAGCAAGATGATTGGAGCCCATTTAGAAATAGTGAACACTATGATGTCACTGAGAGGATGAAAGTGGCAGGGAGGAGATACGGTAGGGCCCCTCTTCCAGCTCTACATTCGATAACGCTTCGGCCTCGAGCGTGCTCGCAGAGACGAAGCACGAAGGAAAGCAAAGAACGAGTGCATGTGTGGCGGGCGTCTTGTCAGCAGTCTCGTGCACGTTACCCGACAAAAGTAACCGACCGCAATTACAATTACTCTTTGTTAGAAAAATCTTTTTGATTATAATATTGTATTACTTGAGGAGAAAAAGACTCTATATATGACTCGTCAAAAGTTTGAGGTCCGCTACTCTCCCCAAAATAGGTGGAAGGATTGTGGAGAGTACTATTATCTTTGGAAAAAATCTTTCGCCGCTTTCTACTGTGACTTCTATGAATGAATATTTGTGGCACAAAATGAAAACGCACTGCACACACAGCAGTCATGTTCATATTTTATGCACCGTTTTCATGGATCAGCTTTGAATCACTCAGGAATCACGCTACCCTGATGGCATTTGTTTGCTCTGCGTCTGTACCACGCTTTCTGTCTTTACTTTCAGGCTCCCGATCCCGAAAAGAACTGAACAGGGTATGTGCACGTTTTCATTACTCAATTGAATCTCACCTAGACAAGCTGGAAATCTGTCTAGCTCAAAATAATACTATTGACGACAATCACAAACCACTAATCGGCTGGTATCATGGGTGATACATAAACCACCGTAAAAAATAAAAAATAAATAAAAAATTAATAGAATCTAGATTCGGTTAGGAGTAATTTTATTGGAAATATTGAAATATGCACATCACAAAGAAACATGTGCACTTAAAAGGGCCATGCAAGGACTTTCTACTGGTTTTTAATTTGCACCGAACCTGAGCGCACTGAACGTTGTAATTAATGAAACTTTTCTTTTCTCGAAATTCGCTTTATTTTAAAAGTTATAGGCAAATTAAAATTACAAACACAAGCAAAAAATAACCTCCTTCATGACGTCCTTGGTTGCTTAAGTGGCCATGAACTAGAGGAGGGGTAGTGAGCATAGCGAGCGCTCACCGGCTGCCGCACTCCGTGTTGACGGCGCGAGAGGGCGCCACTAAAGCATGTTCTGGATAGGCTGTATGTAGCGGGCGACCAGAGCGGCGCTCATCGTATTTGCTGCGCGATTAAACACTAATTCGGCATGACACCTTATTGGCCACAAACGACAGCAAACACGGGGTAAAGATCAGTTCAGGATGGGAGCCACTTCGCGCTGCCATACCGCGAAACGTCCAAACCGCAAGGCAAAGCTTCTCGCCGAAGGTCTTCGGAACGCTCCGAGGCGGTCGGAGCCTCCAGTCCATAAACGACCGCAGCACCACCGCGTACATCCGGGACCTTTCCGTATAGGCGCCTGATCCCACTACTCTTTTCTAGTATGCGCCACCTTTTCCACCGCTTGGTGGCGGGTATGTCGAAGGGTAATTTCTCGTTTCCGTACTTAATACACTGCATTCGTTTCTTTTCTGATCTAAAATACTGAACAACAACTACTTTTATAATTGAAACGGTTTGCGTCACTCATATTTTGTTTTCCGACTAAAAAGAAGCTTTTAGCGGCTCCGACCAGTAGTAAGCCCAGGACCAAAGACGTCACATTTTGCGCGCTTTCGGTACCGTGGGTCGCTTCCGTCGGTGAAGGAGGTTTCCGCGTCGTCCGATTAAATTATGACGCACTGATATTTAGTTACTCTCTCCATGCCCGCTCGCTTGCCAGAACCCCAAGAGACGTGGAAACCGCAAAAATGGTAGACGCTTAGATATGATTGCAGGGCCCCTTTAAGGGGTGCTAATTTGCGCGTGAAGCATATTGTGTGAATGCCGTTTTTGTAATGCGAGCATCTCATCCATTTCTCGCCATTCACTTCTGCGCGAACGCCGTTGACGTAAAGTGGGTTTCACACACTTGCGTTTGGTTTGAAGTTTGTTGTGCAGTCTTGTAATCGCTAACGACGAGGGAATACACGGGCACCACCTATCGGATAGCTGTGGCACAATCGAAGATTTCCGTACATTTACTTGTTCTTTCACTCGTCGTTATTTCACCACGGGCTAGAAAAAACATTCACAATAATATTAACCACCATTTCTCGTAGATAGTATGAACATGTAATATCGCAAATGCTGTGAAACATTTAGTCCGGTGAAATGCAGCTAAAGGACCACCTCATTGATGGCGACAGCGTGCCAGTAAGTTCTCTAGAGAGACAAGATTTAAAAAAAAAAAACCAAGCAACTGTGCACCAACTCATGTTTACAAACAAACCGGAGCGCCCCTGGTGGTGCGTCACCAGCGCCGCGCACGCGCGGTGGAGTGAGTGCAGGAAGCGCTGAGCCCCGGATCAACAAACCAATGCTATGTTTTGTTGGCGGCGTCGGCTTGAGTCCTCGCTATCTTTCTTCGAGTTTAAAATGTTGATTTTACGACTTCCTTAGTGGCGTGAGCGAAAGACGATGAGGCTCGTTACGCCCCAAAACACCCCGCAAACAATATGACGTGCGGCGATTCATTCGCCTGAATGCCGCATAATGGACGCTAACAGCGTGATGAGATTCTGCTCGCTGTTTTCTGTTGTGACGCCGCTTGGGCTACATAAAGCGTGAACCGTAGCTTCAATGATTGACAGTCGATACGGAAGATCGCAAGCAGGATCAGACTGAGGAAATCGAGCTTAACAAGTCGGTGATGGCCACTGGTAATAATGATCAACATTACTGTTTACGCCGAGCCTACTCACACCAACCAACCATTAAATTTAAAAGTCTTTTTGAGACCTGCACTGACTTCTTATCGGAAGTACCGAGTCACTGTTTGGTATACGCGCGGTTGTCGTTCGAACGAGCAGACAACTAGCAGCAACGTTTGAAAGAGCAAACGACAGCTCGAATGATCAGGCGACCGTTTGAACTTGAAGATGCACTGACCGTAGTCCGGCCGGTGGTCCGTACAACTTGACGGTTTTCCCGCGTTCATATTGGAGCAATGCAAATATATCTGACAACCACAAGTATCCGTGAATTCATCCCAAGGTGCTTCCTGCACAAGCAATCGTGGTCAGACGGCCTCTAATTTTTATTTTTCACGTCACCTATCCACGTTCTACGACGAACCGAGCAGGGAGAAAACACAGCAAAACTGACCTTCAAACCTTTCCCGACTCTTTTGGTACAGCCACAGTCGCGGCGTTTCGACAAGAAGGCCAGCTTTTGTATGTTTTTTGTTTTTACAAAACAGCACAGGAATGCACGTACCGCATGGCGACTTCCGCCCACAGCCTCAGACCGGAAGTGCGCCCGACGCCACTACCGCGTTGTGGCGTAACAGAGCTGAGTTTGTGTATTACCACAGAGAGCACTTTCACATCAATGACGGACGGCTCCAGCGGCAACTGGTTCCCAGTGCGCATGTGTGGCGTTGCCGCGGGGCGTGGGAAGGCTCGAAGGTGCGTCTCAACGCTCGCAGCCGATCAACGCTTGTGTCACCTCCTCGTAGCACGTATTGGTAACGCGATCCACAAGCCATATGACCCCGATCGACAAATTGGAGGCATTCTCAAATCTAGACAGGCGGTGTTTTCTCGTCCTATGTGGTTACAAGAGCTCGTCGTCGATACCAGTGAAAGGGCCTGTTATCGGATGCCCAAACCGTACCAAGCGAAAACCATGCTGATGCATGGCAAGAGTACGGCGCAAAGTGGCAGACGGGCATGCGGCTTGGCGTCTCCGCGTGCTATGCGGAGCGCAAGTTCGTCTGCTTCTTGTGGCAAGGGTTGTGGTGGCATCAGAACGCCGAGCTCTCATTGGGTCTCATTGAGGGATAGTGGATAAAACTCAAAGCAAGCCGCCTTAAGGTCTACACACTATCCTTCAATAAGAGCCAATCAGAACTCGGCGTTCTGATGTCACCACACCCCTTGCCACAAGAATCAGACAATCTTGCGCTCCTCATAGCGTCTCACCTGTCGTGAGACGCTGAAAGTCGCGCCGGCGGCGACGCTGACGCGGTTTAGGTGGCGATGCGTGTTTGCACCAGTCATGACATTTAAGTATGGTTCTGGGAGAGGTGTACGCCTTGTTTTCCAGCTGATATTGTCGTAGTGCAGTTGATGGGAGGAACCAAACGCAAGTGTGCGAAGCATGCCCTCCGATTGCCATGTCTCTTCTCCTCTGGTTGTGAAGCCCGTCTTTTTTTTCAGGATGCTCACATTACTGCCACGTATGCAAGAAGAATCCCGTCGCCACTACAACGGTGAAATTCGGCCCACCTGGACCAGACGAGGCCAGGATCATAGCTCACGAACTGGGACACTTGTGAGTATATGACCATTGTTGATCGAATACTTCGAATTTAACGGCGCAGTGGCTGGCAGGAATATGAACTATTGCAGAAATGAAGAACTGTCTAGCGTGTCAGTCTCGTAGAGGACGGTTTCACGTGACGTACTTCCTGACAGAAATCTCGGCAGGCGCCATGTTGGTAAACTTTCGCTCTATGTCATTTATACCGAAGTTGTTATGCGCTAGGATCTGGGAGAAAATGCGTGCGCCGATGTTAACAGAAAAACTCCTTATTGGTGATGGCAAGTATGAATAAGTAAAAATAAAAAGAAGGGACAACCAGCGTGAGTAATATTCTAATAATGCCTTCCTTGGCATCATTAGATAGTGAGGTACTCATCCCTTGTCTCTAAGCATCGTCCTCGAGGTCGTCCTATAAGTGTTCCTTGAGGTTCTTGTAAACGTCGTCCTCGAGGTCGTCCTATAAGTCTTCCTTGACGTTCATTTAAACGTCATCCTCGAGGTCGTCCTTAAAGTCATCTTTGAGGTCGTCCTAGACGTCGTCCTCTGGGCTTCGTCCTCGAGGTCGCCCTAGAAGTCGTCCTTGAAAGCGTCCTTCAGCTCTTCCTAAACGCGGTCTTCTAGAAATCGCCATCAAGGTCGTCGTAGAAGTCGTCCTAGACGTGGTCCTCTAGGAATCGCCCTCGAGGTCCTCTTAGACGTCGTCCCTCAGGTCGTTCGAGAGGTCGTCCAAGGCAATATACGACATTTATAAGTTAAATCGTAACTAGGTCGTATAGTTGCCTTAAAGTTGTCGTAAAGTTGTTGTAAAGATAACAGCGTCGCTGGCCCTCTATCTTCACGTGAAGTGGATAGGTTCTAGATTTTTGTTATTTCCTGAAGCAATGTTTTCAGGCTCGCTCGAATTTGTTTTGTGCCCTGATCGACTGTGCCAGCCAGAGCAATCGGTAACATAAAAGAACATCGGTAGGTAGTTGATGTTTCTACAAACCGGTCTTTCGAGTTAAAACGAGTCAGTGCACGGAACGCTGGCTCGTCGGGAGGCAAAATAGTTCTGGAAAATGCTGCCAAGCGGTACCAAAAAACAAACAAATAAATAAAATCTTAGCTTAAGCTTCCAAAATGCATGGCCTGTCATACTCAGTCATGTAGTCGACAGAGTCACTCGCTATGCTTGTGCCCTTGATCATTACAAAAAATGACGCTAACAACTGAGCGTCTGCATGCAAACTAATGGGGAAAGAGTGTCAGATGCTGTTCATCAGCATTGCGGAACGGTCTTTACCGGAAATCAGAAAAAGCGTTTCCTGGTACCGTCCATCTACCCAAGCACAAACCTGAAACGGGGAGTTTACCAGGTTGGCGCAACAAAAGTTGCCAAATTTTGTCCGCTACACAGAATTTTGTTCCGAACATACTAACCCTGCAAAAGTACCTCCAACATTGCTGTGAAAGAGGTTTTAAGTTCCAAAAATTTGCCAAACGTAAACGTCAATAGAAGACGAGCTTAAAATTGGGGACACAACATAAGAGTGGTGGCTTTAGCAGACTAATTAAAGGCGTAAACAAAGGCAGATGTAGGGATACCTTTGAGGTTACCCCGATTCTGCAGAATGTCGAAGACCACCTCAGTCTGTGAAGAAATCTTTACTACTCTACAGGGTTGCGCTTTGTAAATAGGGCTTCATGCTTTCGTAGTATCTTTTTTTATCGAACTCGGGGCTCTGTTTTGTTTGGGCCGGGGGGGGGGGGGGGGAATTAATTTTCCCTCCATTTCGGTGTTTTCCGGTATCAACTTCCAATGTCAGAGAAAGGGAGTTGACGAGAATGGGACACGAGCATGGGATTCCCCAAATTACGGGTGACATTCGCGTGACCCGAATGATTTAAAAAACGTTTCCTTGCCGATAAGAAAATAAAACGAGAGATAATACGAGTGGGCGTGGGTGCACGGCAGCGATGCAGCACCTAAGTTTTTTCGTTCTTCTGCCTCAGGTTTTTGGATGGATGGTTCTGGAAAGTGGGTGTCAGCAGCGCGTTCATCGCATCTTCCCTGCTGAAGCAACTGATCGTCCCCTCGCCTCCGGTTTCTACGAGCCGGGTTGCGCCGCTTCACATCCAGGATTAACCTACATCAAGCCATCCCTCGTTCTGCCGGAAGCATCGGTAACGGCATGGTCATCGGCGTCGTCAAGTTCATCCCCTATAAGACCCGATTCATCGTTGCAATCGGCCAGTGGGCGTGGGCGCACGGCAGCGATGCAGCACCTAAGTTTTTTCGTTTTTCTGCCTCAGGTTTTTGGATGGATGGTTCTGGAAAGTGGGTGTCAGCAGCGCGTTCATCGCATCTTCCCTGCTGAAGCAACTGATCGTCCCCTCGCCTCCGGTTTCTACGAGCCGGGTTGCGCCGCTTCACATCCAGGATTAACCTACATCAAGCCATCCCTCGTTCTGCCGGAAGCATCGGTAACGGCATGGTCATCGGCGTCGTCAAGTTCATCCCCTATAAGACCCGATTCATCGTTGCAATCGGCCAGTGGGCGTGGGTGCACGGCAGCGATGCAGCACCTAAGTTTTTTCGTTCTTCTGCCTCAGGTTAGTAAACGGGACTCTGACCCGCAATTTAAGTCGAACTTCCTTTGCAATGTCGTGCTTCCACGCCCTGAAGCTTGTGTCGAGTCTTTTCGAATATTGTTGTTGGTTCTGTGCGGTGACGTTGAGCAGAACCCTGGTCCCATGAGTGACCAGCAGGCTAAGCAGTTCAGTGAAATGCTTCGTCTTTTGCACGATCTTAACGCTCGTTCTCTAAAGTTTGAAGAAGGCCAAAATGCTGTCCTGTCTTCCATTAACGATTTAAAAGCAAACCACGAGTCCCTTCAGCTTTCCGTCACTAATCTCATTCAAAGAGTGACGGTCTTAGAATCGAGAACTGCTATCTTCGATGATATGCATCGCGAACTTGTCGGGGCGCATCAGACATTTGAGCGGATTGAAAAAGATAGCCTACAATTTAATTATAGGCTAAATGATTTGGAAGACCGGTCACGTAGATACAACCTGCTTTTTCATGGTGTCGATGACGCAGCTAACGAGTCATGGACGCAGGCCGAAGAAAAAGTATTGTCTCTTTTATCAACTCACTTGAATGTTAACATATCGCATGAGCAGATAGCTCGTGCCCACAGGTTAGGCCCTTTTGTTGATGGTAAATGTCGTCCTTTAATAGTAAAATTTGAATCCTTCAAGATTAAAGAACAAGTTCTCTCCTGTCGTTCAGGTCTCAAAAACGCGCATTTCTCGATCGCCGAAGATTTTTGCCCCGATACTCGCTTGGCTAGAAGGCAATTGCTGGAATACGGTAAACGCCAGGGTGCGGTTTTTAAACTGCGCTATAATAAGCTTTTTGTGAACGGTAAATGTTTTTGCTACAATTCGGTTAATGATTGCGTTTATGAATTGCCCGTTAAAACTGTTCATCGCGCTCCTAACCGAGCTCAAACGCTGAACAGTTCGGGAACGGCACAGCCAATACCATAACATTCCCCGAGGGGAGATGGGTCTCGAAACCTTGGCTCAAATCTTTCTGTTCTTCTTACTAATATCAGAAGCTTAATTCGTAATCGTGACGATCTGAGCTTGGTTATTGACTCCTGTGATGCTGATATTGTGGCGTTAACCGAAACTTGGCTTTCAGCTAAAATTGGTGACAATGAGCTTTTCCTGTGCCAAAAAGGCTATAATATTTTTAGAGCTGATAGATGTGGTACCTCAGGTGGTGGCGTTTTGCTGGCAATAACTAATACTCTCTCTTCCGCCCTTATACCGGTAGCCTGTTCTCTAGAGATAATTTGGGTATGTGTCTCCATTAATTACAAGAAGTGGATTCTTGGTGTTTGTTACCGCCCTCCAACCAAATACTCTGAATTTTCTAATGTATTACATGACTGTCTCAATCAGATTAATGTGCGTTTCCCAGGTTCACCCATAATCCTAATGGGTGATTTTAATTATCAAAATATTAAATGGTCTGATGACGGCATTTCTTTATACCCCTTTAGCACTGATGCTAGTGAGTTTGTTACATTATGTTCTGATTATAACTTGGTTCAACTTGTCGAAGCTCCTACCAGAGTTACAGCAACATCGTCATCCGTTTTAGATCTGATCCTTGCCACTCACCCAGACGTTGTTTCTTCAATATCATGCATGCCTTGTATCAGTGACCATCACGTACTTCACTTTATTCTTAACATACCTAAAGGGCCATCACTACCAATATTCAAATCTATTCGAGATTACAAGGCGGCAGATTTCACTACAATTAACCAAAAGCTGTGTAAATTTCTTGATGAATATTTAGAAGGGTTTCAGAATCGCTCTCTCGAGACGAATTGGAGTCTGTTTAAAACTATTGTAGATTCTTTGACTGTAAACTATATTCCATCTGTTAATATTCGCCACCATGCTGACGCACCCTGGTACAATAGAAAGCTGAAGAGACTGTCCAACAAAAAGAGAAGATTGTTCCGTGCCGCTAAACACGTTTTATCTGAATTGCGTTGGCAGGCCTATCACGATATTGCTGACGAGTATGCCAACACAGTAAAAAACGCAAAACAAATTTTCTTTAACCATACGCTTCCATCCATGCTTCTTAATAACCCTAAACGATTTTGGAATATTGTCAGCAATAGCGTAACCAAAAATATATCTCTTACTTCTTCTGATGGGATAATTGTGGAACCTGCCCAGTGTGCTACTGTGTTGAATGATGTCTTTGTTAGATCATTCTCAGCTCTTAGTAACACTTATGTGCCTCCTCTAACTTCTCGGAATTTTTTACCAATGGACCCTATCTTCATTGATGTCATAGGAGTATCTAAGGTAATAGATGTGTTGAAGTGTTCATCAGCCGCAGGTGTTGACGGTATTAACTCTAAATTTCTAGAAAGCACTAAAATGTATTCGCCCATCATTCTTTCTAAGCTAATCTCCCAATCACTTGAGTCAGGGTCCATACCTGATGATTGGAAGACAGGAAAGGTGGTACCGTTGCATAAATCAGGTGACAGCCATGACCCATTCAACTACCGTTTCATCTCTCTAACGAGTGTTCCTTGTAAAGTCCTCGAACATATCATCTGCTCCCATTTAGTGTCTTTCCTTGAATCAAATAGTTTCTTCTCATCCGCTCAACATGGCTTCAGAAGGCCATTTTCATGCGATACTCAATTATTGTCTTTCACTCATGAGCTCCACTCCTTCCTTGATAACGGCTCTAGCACTGACTGTGTTTTCTTAGATTTTTCAAAAGCCTTCGATAAAGTATCCCATAAGCTACTAATCCATAAGCTTCGCACTCTAAACATTGATCTTATGTGCTTGATTGGATTATCGCCTTTCTATCTCATCGGGTCCAGTTCGTCAACGTAAATAATAATAATTCTCATTTGGTGCCTGTCGATTCCCGTGTACCGCAAGGTTCTGTAATTGGTCCCCTGTTGTTTCTAATTTATATTAATGATCTTGTAACTAATATTTCCTCGCCGATCTGCTTGTTCGCTGACGACTGTGTCCTTTTCCGCAATATAACTGACCATTCTGATGTAATTCATTTGCAATCTGATCTTGACGTCATAGCTCTCTGGTGCAACTCTTGGCAAATGGAACTTAACACTAATAAATGTAAGTCAATGAGAGTATCCCGCTCTAACAGTTTATGTCCTACTTATAGCATTAACAATAAATCCCTTGAGTCTGTTACATGTTATAAATACCTTGGAGTCCATATAACCTCTGACCTTACCTGGAATACACACGTCGAATATGTTGTAAGTAATGCTAACCGCACGTTGGGTTACATAAAACGAAACTTTTTTCAAGCCCCTTCTTCTCTTAAACTAACCTTATACAAGTCCTTAGTCCGTCCTAAATTAGAATATGCGTCATCCATATGGGACCCTGGTCACCAAGGTCTTATCAGCAGATTAGAAGCTACACAAAACCGAGCCGTTCGTTTCATCTTATCTAACTATCATCGGACAGCCAGTGTAACATCAATGAAATTAACTTTGTCACTTCCCAGTTTGTCGTCTCGGCGCAAAACAGCTCGTTTATGCCTGTTTCACAAAATTTATCATCACATCCCATCTCTCCGTTTGAAACTAATGCTCGAGCCCTCTTACCGTTCATCCCGTCTCGACCATATTCACAAGGTAGGCATACCTAATTTTAACACCTTCAAATTCAGCACCTCGTTCATACCTCGCACATCGACTGACTGGAACCACCTTCCCGCTTCTATTGCAGATATTAATGATATTTCACTCTTTAAGCAATCACTTATTAACAGCACCCTTGGTTGATTAATTACGTTTATTTATTGTTTGCTCACTCCCCTCTAAAATGTACTCTGTACCTTGAGGGTAAATAAATAAATAAATAAATAAATAAATATGTGTGGCTCCCAAGCACGAAGAAGCTTCGGGGGCTCTACATTGCGCTGTGTTGCCGGTCAGCGCAAAATGAAGCCGTATATAAATATTTCCTTTACGCGTGATGCTTGTAGTATATTTTTTTTTTATATTGACAAATTCAACTTGGGTGTTTAATTTTCGCGGTTTATTGCTATGTATCAAAAAATTCAAAAGCAGAGAACCCTAATTGAGGCATGCACTCATAGTCAGTTGCCACATGGATGGGGAACACTCAGAAAGAAGGCAAACGCCGCGGTGTTGCTCTTTCGCCGCTGCGTGAATGGGCGATCTGCTTGCGACGTCAGGTGTGCTTTGATTTAGGTCAAAAGAAAGTACAGACGTGCGCAGTTACAAGGCCTCTGGGAGCCACCGCTTTGCTACCGGAGTGTGAAGATTGTCTTGCAGTCAAACCTTCAAGCAGCTGCCAGCTTGGCAAAACATTTTTGCTTTGCCAGCCTGGCTCATACAAAACATTTTCCATTCAGGGTGACCAGAACAAATTTTAAGGCATGGCTGCCTACGAGTGAAAGCCTACGTTTACCGTGAGATTTTGCTGTCTAAACTATCATACCACGAAGCGCCTAACTTTAATTCCTTCTAAAACTATATGATCATTTGATCAGAGTGCAAATTCGTAACCATCGAATGATTGCTACTTGTCAATAAATAACAAAGTAAAGCCAGGTGAAATATTTACCCCTCTAACCCCGTTTCAATGCTTATAGTGGTGTTTGCGGGTTTTTCCTTTCCTAATAGCTTTATAATTGAACGCAATCTTGAGATATTTGCGAAAAATGTGGTTCTGATGAAATATCTTTCTGATTCTATTTATACCTCGTTTCACTCTAAATGCGACCGCAGCCGACGCTATGCGAAGCGCAACTTCGTCTGTTTCTTGACACAGGGGTTGCGGTGATGTGCAGAACGCCGATCTCTTATTGGCTGATGGAAAAACAAATCAGTGGGTAACCCTTGAGGAATCTAGCGTTGAGGTCTACCCACAATCCTTCCAATCAAGAACCAATCAGAGCTCGGCGTCGTTGTGACGTCACCGCAACCCCTGTTCAGGAAGCAGACGAACTTGCGGTGCGCATAGTATCTGGTGGGGCCAATCAACCAGCGCCAAAAGCGCATGGCCATGGCGCTCGTCCTCTTCGTGCGTTTGTCGTCACCGATGAGACCAATCGTAGAGAGTAAATACACCTTGATCCTGCGATATCTTGTTTTTTTTCCTGTTCGTCTAACAACAAACGTATCCAACAAACGTTTCAGGCTTGGAATGACTCACGAAGGATATTGTCCTTGGTATTCCACAAAGGGGAAGAAAAGGCTCCGATGCAAAGGGAAGGACCACGGATACGTGATGGGTCGTGGCAAACCACCGCACTATTTTTCGTATTGTCTTCAAGACCAGGCGAAAGGCTGTCTGATGTAAGACCACTTCCCTCATCCTATGTACCAATTTTTTTTTGGTCTATAAATTTACCTTACGAATAATTCGCACCAATTTATAGATTTGTACGGCCGGCGCAACGAAACTGCAGTGAATAGCTCGAACGTGTGTAACATAATCGCGGTATATGTGTAACCGAAAGCAAGTTTGAATACACTCGTCAACGATTCGCATGAGGAATATAATACCGTGGCAAATTTCCGCAGTAAAAATCTATAGTCATGTAAATACAAAATAGATGTAAGTTTGTTTTAAAAAATGCATGGGAAATAATAATAAGAAGACGACGAATAACATTAAGAACATGACAGTGACTTATGGCGCGGAAAACACGGTATATTTTTTTATATATTTGCAGTACATTGGTTCTATTGTCACTAACAACTTAAAGGATTGTCCGGTAAAATCTCGTGTTTCACAAAACAGTAAAAATTATAGTGCCCTTGCTTTTAGAAATATCATTCGCACGATGTCCTAATTTTTAATTTTTGCGTCACACACGCAGTAATTTAATTTTAGATAGAGCCCAAATTCTCAAATCGCGCCCGCAAAACACACACGGGGATATTCCATGACAGAGGAGAAGCGGCAATTTTTTTATGTCTGGAATATGTACGAAGAAAATACTTTGGATAATGAAGCCGCTGAATTCCAAGAAAATATATTTTTTTTTGTGCCCAAGATTATTTTCTTTGTATGTATCAATTTCTAAATTTCGGGAATTCGCAGAAAACCAATGTAGTTTAAAAAAAAGAAACATTTTAAAAAGCGGTTGCGTACCACACTAGTGCAGGTGAGCGCCTAATTACTTAATAAAATTACCTATCTTATCAAACATTCAAAAACGCCATATTGAGTTCAAATAAGAGCTCCAAAAAATAGAGACTATCAGATTTCTTTACTCTTTTAAGTAAATTTGAATTTTGGTGTGAGCTACAATATAAATCTTTTGTTGTCTTAAGAGTAATGAATAAATTGCTCGTATTAAATTTCTAAAGCCTCGTTTTGTTAACTTTTATTTAAATTTATAAATGACCCGTTTATGGAGAAAAGACAATATCAATTGAGAGCCGGAAAAAGCAATCTGGGAAGCGGTTCCCGTAACTGTCGAAATAGCCACAAGTTAAAACCAGCTCATCTGTTCAACATATCACAAATTTAGAAAAGTTCTTTCTGAGATAGTGGAGAATATTTCTTTTTTTTTTTTTAATAGTACGTTCTGCGACCACGCCTGCAAGCGCCCGCCTCGTAGACGACGCACGCCGGCGTTCGCCAGCGAGGCGTCAACGGTGTGAGACGCCGCCGCAAGGACTTTAATTCTCCCATGAAAGCATGTTTTATTCACTTCATGCGGACGTTGTCCTCACTTTCATGCACCCGTATCTTCTTTGCGTTACGTAATAATACCGGCGTCTTAATTTTGCACTACTGCCGGTAACTGCATTCCGAAGAACGCAGGCCTGCATCGTCTGCTTCCCGAGTTAGGGAATACGTACTGCAGCGCTTTGGCCAAAGTTATTAGATTAGCTCCAGGCGGCTGCTATGGTAACTGGGGGGCTAAGCTCGGCGCGGCGAGATCGAGGCGAGTTCTCTGCCAAACTCGCCGACCGCCGCGATTGGTCGGCGCCGTGCATGACGACACGCGCCGACACTCCCTAGATCGTGACGTAAAACGGAGGGTTTGAGACGGTCGGAGAGTTGCATATTCGGAACTCGCGGCGAGATGCGGTGACGTCATTGTGACGTGGCAGAAGCCGCCGCGGTTGGGAAAAGCTTGCCGGCTCCGACCTAGGCGAGTTTGGGCGAGTTGGGCGGGAGATCAGGGAGACGCGTCCAAAATGGCAGCGTTTTCGTTCGTGTTTTGCCGTCGGCGTAGGTATTTAAACCACGCCAATGTGTTTGACATGAACGACGTTCATTTTCAAGAACACTATCGCCTCTCGAAAGACGCGGTAAGGTGGCTGTGCGATGAACTGAGTGGCGAACCGGGCTTGAGGTGATGGGGCCGTGAATGAACCGTCGCCCCCTTCGTGAATCCTACATCCAAATTCTACAAAGTGAATCCTAGAATCAAATGTGTTTTTACGGCGATCTGCAACCAGGAACGCAATTTACCATTACCTACAGGCTTTTACAATTGTTTTGATGGGTTGCTGTGCTGCGTAGATGCAAGATAAATGCACTTGATAAAATTCAAAATAAAACAGATGATAGAAAAAAAGCAATATGCATAAATGGCGCAGACTAACAACTGTGTAATTTCTTTCTCATCTCTCTTCTTCCACACCGTATTTTGACAAACAAATTGGCCGTTAGTTGTTTATACAGCAGGAGAACATGCCAGAACATTGCGACATTGTCACCTACTGTAGATAAGCAATTTAGCCAGTGCAGTATGACTGCTAGCCTAGGATCTTTAACGTGCACCACGTAGTAGTGATACACGACCGCATGCCGGTACGATGCTCATCAACATCGAAAAGGGCAGGGGTGGGGGTGAATTTACGATCCTGGGTTCTGCAGCGCGAGCTTTCGCTCCACGTGCACCCTATTCTGAAAAAAAAAAAAAATATTGTGGCTGTATGGCGGTGTGATGAGATGAGGAAGAAATTACACAGTTGTTAGTCTGCGCCATTCCTGTATGTTGTTTTTCGTCTATACTCTGCTTTAGTTTATATCTTTATCGAGAGCGTTTTTCTTGCATCTACGTGGCACAGCAAACTATCACAACGTCTAGGCAACTAGCCCACATCCAAGCAATGTTTGTATAATTACATCCCTGCTGTTACCTATTCTTATTTGTCATTTAAGATTTAAATAAAAAAAATTGGGCTGTATGTATGTTTGTTCTGCCTAAAACTTGGTCTGCCTCGACGGAGAAGATTCTCCCAGCTGTAGATGAGAAATTTAGCCATGCAGTGCCGTACAACCGCTAGCCTGCAGGGTCTTAACGTCCATCCCGCAGTAGTGTTACACGACTGCACGCCGGTACGATGCTCATTAACATCGAAACGGGCAGGGGTGGGGATTGAACCCAGCATCCTGGGTTCTGCAACGGACCTTTCGCTCGACGTGCTCCGAGCTGGTGTGCGCTAGACCACTCGGCCACCGATCCCCCGATTTAATTAAAATAAGAGCCCTTCACTGCGGAGCGTAGGGAAAAATCAGAGCTACGCTGGGGAACTCGCCGCCGCCGGGGGGGTCGGAAATGTAAGAGGGGGAGTGGGAAACTCGCCGGGGAGGAGTCAAAAGAAGCTCCTCCCCTCCCTCGTGACGTGTCATCGGAGAGATTCCCGCAGGAGGCGAGCTTAGCCCCCCTACACTGTATTCTATGGGATACGTACGTTTCGAAGCGCAGCGTCTAGATGGCATTCCACCGCAGTTTATGAAATACATAATTAAAATAAGACCACCGACTTGACACGACAGGAAAAAACAATTTCATTAGCCGTTTCGCCTCCCACGCTGCAGACATCTTCAGCAGTTACAAAGCGAATACAAGGTTCATGCCTCAAGTCAACGCTATTTATCAGGAATGTCTGTATAAGCTTCGTGGACAGGGCCGTGGCTTTTGTTACACACGGATGTGTCCTTGCGGACAAACCACGGTTCTAGGAGTTTCCGGGGCTCCCATCTGTCCTCCCTCGCCAAGGTCGTCGCGGCCGCAAAGTCAAAAGAATGACCCATTGTCCACGCATGGTCCACTAGTTCAGTCTTCAGTCGCGTTGCGTGGGAGGCGTACGTGACGTCACGCTTGTGTTCTTTGAGTCTGGTCTGTCTCCTCCGACCGGTTTCACCAATGTAGGACGCTGGGCAATCACTGCAGGAGATCTTGTAGATAACGCCTCTCTGGACGGTCGCCGGAGTTGGGTCCTTTGGTTTGGAAATGGAATTTCCAATAGTTCTGTATAGCTTGTAAAAAGTTCGAATACCAAGGGGCCTCAAAGATCGACTGAGAAGTTCGGAGACTCCTTTGGCATAAGGGATGCACACTACATTTTTATCTCTTTCCCTTTCGCACGGTTGCACATGTTGTTTCATTTGGTTGTTGACCTCGTCGACAAAACGCTTTGAAGAGTGACGTTTCTTAAAAGCTTCCTGTAAATGAGTCATCTCATTTGCGCCATGAAGTTCGTTAGAGGGCACGGTATTCGATCTGCGTACAAACGATCGCGCTACTGATTTCTTGTGTTGCACTGGGTGATGGGACAAAAAAAAAAAATCTATTTCACATCGTTGGCGGTACACACCCGTTTCAATCCAGGGGTTCGGTTAAGTTAAAGATTGAAGATGCTATTAAGTAATAAGGCGCCAAACTTAACCTTGTTTTCACAATGTTTTTTTATCTACTTGCGTTTTTTGCAAATCCTAGACAACTAAAGCATGATATAATCAAAAATAAAATTATTTTTTTTTCACAGAGAAAAAAATAATTTCTTGGAGTGCTGAGGCTTCTTTATCCAAATGATTTTTTTTTCGCACATATACAAGGCATGAAAAAATCACTGGGTCTGCTTTGGCATTGAACGGCCCAGCGATTTCCTTGGGCAACAACGGAAGCACTGACGTACCATCATGGGAGGAAAGCCACGAGAGCTCTTGACTGCCGTCTCTCTAGAACAAGTTCCTTCAAAGACAGACAGGATTTACGACATTAAAAGAAGCTAAATTCTTCGACGAGGATTTTTGTACGCACCGTTCACCATGTCGATCGAAACCGGGAATACGTCAACGCCCGCGACTCTGACGTCACCATGGCTGATATGACGTCACGGCACGACCACCCGTACATACTTGCGAAATTCGTCGCGGAGTTTCGCTTTGATCTGGATAACTGGTTTAACGAGCATTGGGGCGTCTTTTAAGGAAATAAATATCACATTTCACTATATATTTATGCCCTCAGGGAATTGTAGTACACCGTTTTTCTCCTCCGCTAATGTATCCCCGAAGAAAACGTCGCAGCTGCGCATGCGCGCCGCCAGCATTGTCTGCATAGTTCAAGGTCTTGTGGCGGATTACGGAGCGCTATCCGGGTGCTTAGCGGGCTGCGGAAGCGGTCTACTACAGTTCCCCACTAACTTCCGGATGTCACCGGAAGGCAGGGCATGGCTCAGTGTTTTAGCGCTTCTCGTCTCGTTATTGCCTCTTCGCCGTTCTTACCGGCTAATGCCAGAATAGACACTTTTCTGAAATCCATTCAAGCAATATTGGCGGTCGCCATTTTTGGGGTGGGCAGGAAGAGTGCGTTTGGACGCGAGTCCTTGCCGAACGGTGCCACATACTCATTTTTGGTGCTGGACACCGAATTAAAATTTTAACGCGATTAGTAGCTACACTTTACTTGATTAATAAGTCGATTAATTGGATACTTCTACAAGCGGGCATGATATCGCAAAAAAAGGTGTCAAATCTATATACACACTTTAAACGCGCGCCTGTGTGAGCCGCTGTTGACGACCTCGTCTTCTCTTACCGAGATGCCGGGCCACTGAAGTGGGCAGCGTTGACCAACCTCGAAAAAGGCCTACGCTGGGGAGAAGGACACAGTAACCCCTAAAGTGGATATAACCTGTCCTGTTGCGGTAATGATGAAGTGCAGCAAGCTTTACGAAAGCGAAAACATATATTTATTCTCAATATATTTTTCCACGTCAATAATGACACAGCTTGTAGCCTCATTTACAAATAAAAGCTTTACAGGAAAAAATAAAAATAAAATATTTTGACACCACACTCTATTTAGTAATCACCCTGGAAAACATTTATAAACAATGCTAAAGTGTTCTACGTTGGAATGTAAAAGTAAGAATGCCTTCTAAATTACACAAATGCTGTAGCATTGCGATAATTTTCTGATTTCTATCGGGAATTTCTAACTGGCAAACCTCAAGCGATCAACCGGTTAAAATGTTATCGCTATTAAATCATTACCGGATTAATTGTATCGCATAACAGACCAATTTCCCAGCCCCACTCGTTTTCCATGGGAGCTGAGCCGAGTTCACGCCGAACGCTGACGCAGCCCTCGTGTCCATCACGTGATCAAAGCACGTGTCATACCACTGGCGCCCTCGGATAGCTGACTCAGCAGCTACTAGGTGGAGCTCACTGTTCAAAAAGAATGTATGGCAATGGCTGCGCATCTATATTGAGATGCTCGCTAGTCGAGACTTCGCGTTTTTTCGAACTGTGAAGTGGTATTGCGCTGTGGCTCACCTGGTACCCCTTCATCCAGGCTAAAATCACCAGGCGAGTAAATCGCCCTCAGAAAGAGCTCTCGAAACTACCAACTGTTCTGTGTTTTTGAGGGAACAGGTTATCTATAATTTTTTTACCTCGTACAATCCTCCTTCTAAACGGTCACAAACAGAAGTAAATTGTTTTCTTTTTTTTTCTTCCTGGGGGGTGGGAGAAGAGTGTAGCGTAACTGTATGTGCTCCATTTGAGGAGCAGAGTAACGCGGCAGTCTCAAATTTCGGCCTCAAAGTATTGCGGGACGCGACCATCGCTCCCGCAGGAGAACGCGACTGGCGCCACCATGCGGCAAACACACTGAAGCTTGACTTTATCCCCTGGAACGTGGGGCCAAATGATCAAACTGCCCAAGTTTAAATAGTCTTTTTCTCCGATGATTGCTGGAAAGCACTCGTTTTTTACAAGTAAGCCTCGAGGGCACGTTTTACCCAATCTCCTCTCATTTTAGAGCGATGTTACCCTTGCGCACTGACGAACTGGGTTTTCTTTTTCAGGACAAAGAAGAAGCGGTGCTTTGAACTGACGGGGGGCAAGAAATTGTTCTAAGAGAAAACAAAGCCCACCAGATGGTTAATAAAATCAGAACTTTGATTGCCCAGATTATTTATTTCGTGTAGCATTGTTTTGCGTTTCATACTAGAACGCTTGAATGCCTTATTTTATATTTTTTGTGCGGGTCTATTCAGGGCGTTTAATTTCATTAAAAAAGAGATATATATATAAAGAGAGGGAGAGAGAGAGAGAGAGAGAGAGAAAAGGTCCGATAAACCTACATTGGTGCATTTTCTGAGATGAGTTCTACGGCTCGGGAGACATATAGGGGGCTGGTCGCGACGATAGGTACGATAATTTACTAGTAGTTCTTAAATAACTTTTAATTCGTGAGAGCAAACTAACGTATGGTTCCAATTAGATACATGCTAAGCGTCATACAAATCCCATAAGTCAGTAAATTACCTCATGTGATACAGGGGCAAACAACGGTGCGAAAAAAACGAATAATGATCTTATAATTCGCGCTTTCAGTCAGCGTTTGACCTGTAGCAGGAGTGGGGACATCAGGGAACCCTCACGTACTTTAAATCTTTCATAAATTGACCGATTTGGTAGTTTTGGATAACGCACAGCAAGTTTCTAATTGAGACCGTATGATCATTTTTGCTAATCAAAAGGTTGATTAACAAACCTAAGTTAATTAAATTATTCGAGGTATCGTGACAATTGTCACTTAAGTTATGTTTCCCTGGCCGAATAACGCATCTCAGAAACTTCATTTGTTACAATTTTACGGTGTTTTAAATATAAATTTGATATAATTAATATCAAACACCCCGTGTAATAATATGCCCGGCAACTCCTTCCCAATTCTGTCATAGCCACATATGCAACTACGGATAAATAAATGATCATGACGAAGGCGTTTTACTTGCGCCTTTAGATTTTACTCGCTCATTCATATTAGATTTAGAGGATTAGGATGAACAATCATAAACGCTCCAAGCATAAACAAAAATCTTCGCGGGCTTATAGTAATCTATCAGAAAACACATTTACACTTGTTAAGTTATTCAAGCATTTTCAAGGTGCTTTCGAGTGCTCTTTGGGCTTCAACAATTTTTTCATAGATAAACTGATGAACCGACACAGAAAAATTCGAGTCAATGGAAACGGAAATTTTATTACCTTTACAAAGTCGGCATAAACTCGACGAGACTGTTTGCTCAGGTTGCTTCGGTTTGTTACAAACAGCTAGAACGACCTGGAAAACAGGTAGAGAAGAACGAATATTCTCTTCTAGAATATAACAGGCAAACTAAATCAGTCGTAATCTACACTGGAAGATAAAGTGCTCCAACTTTTTAGAAATAAACTTGGCCTGACCGTAGCGGCGAACGACATTCAACGCGCGCAAAGACTAGGCTGCCCACAACCAGAAAGGCAAAGGTCAGTTATCATTAAGCATTTTAAGTTTCCATCTTTCATAGGTAAACAATATCTGTGTACTATCCAAAGGATAGTACACAGATAAAGAAAGTGGCTTCTCAGTTGGTGAAGATTTTCTAGGTGATATTAGATACGGACGTAAACGGATTCTAGAATATGAAAAGTCCTTTCAAAAGTTGTTTGAGTTGCGGTTTATTAAGCTATACATCAGAAATAAGATTTACTGTTACGATAACGCCGAAGAATACACTCTAGAAAAAGTCTATGCGTCTGCTTCCACGCACAACACTCGGAGAGCCAATCAGCGCAACTTACGAAGGCAGCTCAGCGAATGACAATGCCGAAACATATGTTTTGAGCAAAAAACGCAGCCTGAGTTGTGACATTAAGCAACGCAAGCGTGACGTTTTGCATTGGTTAATGTCACAACTCAGACTGCGTTTTTTTGGTGTAAACATACGTTTCGGCATCGTCATTGGCTGAGCAGACTCCGTAAGTTGCGCTGATTGGCTCTCCGAGTGTTGTGCTTGAAAGTAGACACACAGACTTTTTTTAGAGTGTGCGCAAAAAGAAAAACGTCCTTAGCAATCACTGTTTCAAGCTGAACGCGCGGTAAGAACAGCGCGCGAAGGTATCATCGCGTTTGTTATCTGCCGTAGTGTGAGGAATAAAGCGGATGACTTTGCCGATCTTATTACTTTAACTAAATACAGTGTTGTCATAGGCTCGAAATCCTGACTAAAAGGGCCTTTGGACAACGCTGAAGTGTTTTCCTCGGATTACTGTAAACGATTTAATTTTCGCGAGGACATGATATTGTCGTGGACTACCCGAATCGCCTACATTTCGCGAACAATAGGTCTCGCGAACAATTCCGGTAAAATGTAAGCACACTGGAACCTATATTGAGATCCCACCGCTGTCGCGAAAATGAGAAACAGCGAATTAGTCCAAAACTTCAGCTTTGGCCTAATTTGCGAAATATTGAGCCCGCGAAAAATAAGTCGTTAATGTGCATGGTGGTGGAGTGTTTTTGCTAGTTCACGACAGTCTGCAACATTTCGCAGTCTAGTTTAGTAACTTGAATTGCGAATCAGTATTACGTAAGATTTCCTTGCAGATCGGACAATTTATCACTGTGGGCTCTCTCTCTAGACCACTTTGTTCTAGTAAGAGCGTAATGTTTATTTTATTTTTAACATTTTGCCAGGCATAGCCATTAGCCACCTGGTGCACGGTGGTGACCAATTTTCCGGATGTGAAGTGGACGGATCGCGAACACGTTACAGAAAAACATCTAGCATATCCAAACGGTTACTTAATTTTATTTCAAGCTGAGATCTATATTAGTACGTATTATTCCCGACTAGAATGGGCTAAACGATGGCAAGTACTCTAGAACTTTTTACTAACAGGCGCGAACTGATGTCATCGCTCTCTGGCTTTCTGGGGATTAGTGACCATGAGGTTGTGGTTGTATGCATGACCAACATATACGAAACCAGGGACGGATGCACCCAGTATTTTTTTTTACAGCCGAGGAAAATATAAATATGTTTTCAGTAATATCGAAATGAGTTTGAGATCTCACCTACGAATGTAGTATTGAAAATATCTGAAATCTTTTTTTTAGAAATAAGATCAACTTTTTGGATGATGCAGTCGATCCTTTTAAGAGTGTTGTTTCCAAGGGAGGCAAAGACAAGCCATGGATAAGTAGTATAGTACTTTTCTTGCTAAATAAAAAGAAAACGAGAAACGACGTGTGTACCTGAAATATTGTACACTTAAGAACAAACGCGCTCTATAAAAATGAGAAAGTTTACGCAAACAATAATAAATAAATCTGAAGGATCCAAAACAAAACTTCAAAAATTAAGCCTATACACATGACTAACACATTTGAAGCCTTACACGCTACGAAATGCTCGCTACTTTACGAAAGATTCCGTATGTGCACAAAATAAGCCGTACTTCCTTGGCGTCAGGTACTAAATCGTACATACAGTATGTAAATGTACCAAATATCTGTTTGACATAAGAAAGATGACAATTGCATATCAAGTTTGGTATTTCAAACTGAAAGCCGTAAGCAAAAGTCCCCAGAGAATTTCTCTAACGATCTGCATTTCGCTGAATTGGGAAGAAGTAAACGCTGTGCCCGCACTCGTGGATACACACTTCTAAACCTTTTTGAAATGCACTATTCCAAATTTCAGTTTATGATTGGATATCGAGATAACTACTAACGATAAGTAGAAAACCCTACATATAGGCCAGAGTTCTGCTCTGCAAAACGCCTGTGCAAAGTCCCGTCCAAAACGCTCATCGCACGAGATTCGAGTCTTAATAGCGGCCATACGAACAATATATTACAAATGATCTTGGTAGTTCCTTTTAGACTACTATAATACCTAACTATGAATAAAAAATAAAAGAAATAAAAGGTGTGTTTTTTTACAATATCGACTCCAAAGTTGCTAGTTCCTCAAGATATTAGGTTTTCAGGCACATGTCGCGCCTTAAATGCTTGTCAAAAATATTTAAATTATACTCAAAAGAAAGAGCTTAATTGGAACTTTACGGTGATGTAAAGATCATAAACATATGTTGATTAGGTCACACAGCACATCTTGCTGAACTTCGTCAAACATCGTCGCAGAGAGGCGGCTTCACAATTAGGACAAAAAAATAATGATCTTATGATCTACACGCTTAATTAGCATAAAAAAGCGTATGTCCCGAGCGTTTCCAAAAAGTCATTTTCATGTAGCGTAAAAAGTAGGTAAAAAGTAGGGAAAAGGGGTGGAGTGAAATATGCCACCCCCCTAAGCTGGTAAAACGTCAGTTTCCACCTTGGCCGCTTCAACGCTCCATAACTTGAGAACGATAAATCCGACGAATTCACCGTTTGCGTCTTCTTTTAATATAGGAATTGCCCGAGAACGCATATATATTTTAGAAAAATTAAAAAAAACATTTTACATACAACTGCGGTGTAAAACAAGCTGAGACAAGGATTCAAGGTTCTCCGAAAAATGGCACCTGGTGAAAGCTTCAGTTGTCTCTCTACATTTTTTTTTAACTAGTCATTATCTGGGGAATATTAAACCCCCTCTGCCAGCAATCCTGACCCCGAATAGCATATCTCGTCCGCAGCTACAACCTACTTGGGAGGAGAAGAGTTAAAGGGACAATGAAATGAATTTTTGGCTGGGATAAATTGAGATTTTACTAATCGCATTCGTTTAGTGCGCCAAAATAAAACTACTGCCAGAGCGTAGGAATCCTGAAGCCAGTTTTTCGCTGCGAAAATTTGAAAAGATAGCGGACTATTTCGTACCTCCTTTCCTTCAAAATCTCTGCGCCTTTTCACTGCGATACATCCGCGGTGCAAGTACGTCAGCCGAACCCGGCTTCCGCATGAGTGCCGTCGACGCCACTTATCATCGGTGGAAGCTTGGAGTCATCACTTTCGGTGCCGCCACGACTATTTGATTTCTCGCCGAGGGATGGTGGTTTCTTGTCCTTATAAGCGAGGCTGAGGGAATAAATGTTCAGCTGAGCTTGAGTTCTGTGGCTGTGTTTTCCCCTTTTTTTCT